ATGCTGTGGGCGGTGTGTGTGTGTGTGTGTGTGTGTGTGTGTGTGTGTGGTGTGTGTGGTGTGTGTGTGTGTGTGTGTGTGTGTGTGTGTGTGTGTGGTGTGTGTGGGGTGGTGTGTGTGTGGCGGTGTGTGTGTGTGGTGTGTGTGTGTGTGTGTGTGTGTGTGTGTGTGTGTGTGGCGGTGTGTGTGTGTGTGTGTGGTGTGTGTGTGGCGGTGTGTGTGTGTGGGTGGTGTGTGTGCGGTGTGTGTGTGTGTGTGTGTGTGGCGGTGTGTGTGTGGTGGGTGGTGTGTGTGTGTGTGTGTGTGTGTAGGTGGTGTGGTAGGTGTGTGTATGTGTTTACGAAGATAGTGAGGAGTAAACAGTTTCATTACCAACTCACCATTAATCACAGGAAGACCCAATAAGATAAAGGTGTTGGCGGTAAAATGATAAATGATAAAAAAAATATCCTCAACATATTACATGCTCTTTTAAAAAGCTCCTCCTGTCAGTGTACTCATATGAGACGCCGTCCTGTTGAAAGCTCCCGCCGGCCAACGATTAATTATATTGTACGAAGCTGAATGAATGACAGCGTTCCAAGTATAGAATGTTATGAGGTATTTTGTTTATTACTTTCACACACACACACACACACACACACACACACACACAGTTAACATCGCCACCGTGAAGGCTAAAAAGGTCTTACATATTTATTGTTGAGAGGGAAAAGGTCACTCCATACTATTAATTTTATCAGATCTCGATGGCGAATGGAGCGGGGAATTAATTTTAATATTTTTTTTAGGGATTTCATTTCCTTGGTGGTACGTGGCCGAGTTGTGTATCCCTTTTTCAGAATAGAGTTTATCTTGGAGGCTGTATGTTATGTTGTATGTGGGGGTGTGTTATTATGGTTGTTGTGTATGTTGTTGTTGTTGTTATTGTCATTGTTGTTGTTGTTATTATTATCATTATTGTTTTTGTTATTATTACCGGTATTGCGATTATTGTTATTATTGTTGTTATTGTTGTTGTTGGTATTATTTATTATTATTATTATTATTATTATTATTATTATTATTATTATTATTATTATTTGTTGTTGTTGTTGCTGGTGCTGTAGTACCGTAACTAATACAGTAGTAGTAGTTGTAATATAGACGTAAACAAACAATATTTTCATTATTAGGACAACATTACTTGGTCAACACAACCATCTGTAATCCAAACACCTGAGCGCTTCTGCAGTGTTGAAGGTAACTCGGTAATTCGATCACCAGATGAAAGTGTTGACTCGATGGTTCGAATCCCGGAAAGATGAAAAAAGAGAGAGTTCCAAAGTCGGATTTAAAAGTTCATGAACCTGATTATGAAAGTTGTGTGACCGAGAGAAGAAGATCAAGTTCACCTGGAATTGTGAGATTTATTGCTAACTTTACCTGAAGAAGCCAATTATCACCTGATTCTCTCTCTCTCTCTCTCTCTCTCTCTCTCTCTCTCAACGGTCATAATATCTTGATCAGTGACCCTTTGTGACTTCTATTCTGTCATCTTTTTTTCTTGCAATATCGTCCACAGGATGAGTCTGGGGTGCACATTAAACTAGCTGGTGTCCGGGGCAAAATAATAAAAACACACAACACACGCACACACGCACACGCACACACACGCACGCACACACACGCACACACACACACACACACACACACACACACACACACACACACACACACACACCCACACACACACCACACACACACACACACACACACACACACACACACACACACACACACATACACACACACACACACACACACCACACACACACACACCACACACACACACACACACACACACACACACATTCACACACACACACACACACACACACACACACACACACACACACTACAACTCCCTCCATCTCACCACTGTACTGTTAATTCTTACCTCTACCCTCGACTTGTCCAATTAATAAACCACGTCACACCGACCTCATCGTCGCTTTCCCCTCTTGTTGTTGTCCCCCGTCAGCCGCCACCTACAGGAGGGCCGGGGCGGGGACAAGGGGCAAAGGGGAGGGGAAGGGGGGGGGTGTCCAAGGGGGTCATGACCATCATCAGGGGTCAGTTTTGTGATCCGTAAAAGTTGGTAATTTCGTATCACTTCCAGGATTTCCCAAAGGGCAATTTTATCCTCCAGTCGTATATAATTCGGGGAAGGGGGGTGAGGGAGAGGTGGGGGGTGAGGAGGGGGTGGGGAGGTGAGAGGTGGGGTGAGGGAGGTGGGGGGGGTGGGGAGGTGGGGGGGGGTGAGGGGAGTTGGGGGGTGTGGGAGGGGTGAGGGGTGAGGAGGGTGGGGTGAGGAGGGGTGGGGGGTGAGGGAGGATGGGGTGTGAGGGGAAAAAAAGAAAGCCGAAGGTGTGCTTTTTGTTTTGTTTCCGAAGTTGTCCTGAGGGAGATGCAGGAGGGGAGGGGAGGTTAGGAGGGGAGATGGGGAGGGAGGAGGAGGGTGGGAGGGAGGAAGGAGGTTAGGAGGAGATGCGGGAGGGAGGGAGTTGTTATACCTGGGGTTGATGGTGGGAATGAGGACGACTTTTGGGTCTTAGTGCCTCTTTTTTTTTTCGCCTTTCTTTTTCTCTCTCTCTCTCTCCAGGGCTAATACTCTCAAAGTTTCCTAATTTAAATATCCTCCTGCACTACCTACCGATCTACTCCAAGAACAGGTCCATCTTCCTCACCTCACCTCACCTCACCTCACCTCGCCTCACCTCGCCTCACCTCACCTCACCTCGGACAAGAAGAAGAGTGTGTGTACTGTACAAGACGCTCACTCTCCCGTCACCTGGTTCCTCTCCCCTTCTTTAGGACCCAAGTATTTAACGAAGGAATATTTGATGAGTCTCTCGAGCCGGGATCTTACCTCTGCTGCCCTTCAGGACTTCACACAGCTTCTCCCCGAGGACCTGTGACTCTCTGAAGTAATTAACAGCTGCCAAGACCTGTGAGGTGAGTCCAGGTCGATGAACACCTTAAGGTCGACGGAGGGAGGAAGTAAGGGAGGAGAGATTTGCCTCACAACGACATTATCTTCACCGTGATGGAGATCCTCCTTATCAAACGTCTGTAATTACTGCTCAGATATTACCTAACACATTGGTAATTACTGTTGATTATCTGGTATATTTTCTTGTGATGCTCTGACAGACGACTACAGGAAGGTGAATGAGATAACAGGTGACTTATAAAGAACATTTATTTACAATACATTAACACACACATACACATACAGTATACGGTCATGTGTACTCAGTACACATAACAAATATAAAAAGTTATGTTTCACCATGAAGCACAGCGTAGAGCCTTGGCCTTGGTCGAGCACGGTGACCACCTCCACGGCGGACACACGTCAACAACACAACTACAACACATTGGTAACTCAAGCGTCTTGTTCTCTCGCTTCCTCCGCCTCTCACAGCGGCTTGGAGGTCGAGAACATCCCTAGAATACATAGAACACAGCGGGAACTAATAATTTATTCTCCCTAAGTCCTTAGAGCGGCTAAAAGTTTAAGAACAAAGCGTAAACTTATTAAAAACAGCGGGAACTCCTAATAATTTATTCTCGTCATCCCTCGGGGGGGCAGACATAATACTTCTCAGTAAGTACTCAACCCTGACGGCCCAGCAGGTCCTACATACAGCAGTGTTGATCACTACACGTTAACCGTTCTCATAAGGTCGGGTTGGCTCAACAGCTTCACGTGGTGGTCAGGTCACGTGTCTTGGTTATGATGCAGCCACAGTAGTTTACATAGAACTAATTTATTGGCTTATCAGCAATTTTAGAATATTTAAAAAAATATTCATAATTCCACGACAACTTTACATACATATATAACCGGGATGATTAATGCAAACCAGGATAGTTGAAGACTGTGTGAGATTTGAAGAGAAGGAAATTATTTATCAAAAGTTGGTCTTGAGTTTATCATAGGTGTGTTAGTGCCGTGGACGATGACAGTACAGTAGAGTCAGAGTATAAGTCTGAGTTTGTGTTATTTACAGAAAAGTCATTTATTAAAATTTTAACTTGACTTTAACGACACTTAAGGCTGGTTACATTAAACAGTCTTTAAAACTTTTGGTTTGGTGCTTTAATAATAATCAAACTTTGAATTTTGGTGATACTGAAATGTTTGTATGTAAGTCCATAGATTTATACGTAAACGATAATATCCTATACGAGATGTTAGAAAAGAAACAACTGACCAGAACATGATGTCTGTCACAATACATCTTCAGATATTACATTACAAAACTGTACTAGACAATATACTCCTTACCCACTAGAAGGTAACACACACACACACACACGCCCGGGCTGTGTGACCATAAAGCCAAGGCTCGGTGGCATGATGCTGCATCCAGCTCTTGTGGGAGAATCACTAGAGTCTAAATAATATTGTACTTGTAACCGGTAATCTTCACCAGTGTTGTAGGTTTTTGTTTTGTCTTATAAAAGGGGAGGGGGGCGTGGCGTGGCGCTCGTCGGGATGCAGAATCAAGTCATCGCTTCATGCTACACCTACAGTTAAGGGTAATCTTACATTAGTTCAGAACACTTAAGAAAACATTACCGAAAATGATTAAACTCACAGAGCGTAAATGTACAGTGGACTGGTGTTGGCTCCGACGGCCACACATTCACAAGACACCGGCGGGCTCTCTCTCTCTCTCTCTCTCTCTCTCTCTCTCTAGCAATTATCTTTCTCTGTCTTACACATACACTTTTCTCTCTCTCTTATCCTGTAGCAGCAATAGTCATACACAGCTATTTCCGTGTTAGACGTTGAAGGGGATATTGCAGCATATGCGTGGCGTCGCACACACATGTTTAACTTCGGGCAGCAGGACACACACACACCCACAAACACACCCACACACACACACACACACACACACACACACACACACACCCACAAACACACACACACACACACACACACACACACACACACACACACACACACACACACACACACACACATATCTCCGTCTCTCTCTCAGGGGGATAATGGAGGAAGAGGAAGTGGTCTTGTGTCCTCCCTCAGAGTCTTGGTATAAAACTCTTCTTGGTTTTCGGGATGAACGACGTCTTCAACCTTCCTTCAATTAGATTCTTGGCTGGGGGCGGGGCGGGGCGAGGCGGGGCGGGGCGAGGCGAGGCGGAGCGTGGAGGGCGAAGGAAGGGCAGGGCGGGGCGAGGTGTGTGGCAGGGTAGGGCGGGTCGGGATCTCTGGAGGGGAGGGTTATTTATCAAGACCCCAGTACCAGAAACACATCGTCACCACGAGTAATTCAGTGAGCACCTGGCGAACACCCACAACCCTGCAGTGACATATGGTTTTGTATTGGACGAGACGGCTATAGCTAGACGAACGTTCTCTCGTCTCACTACAGTGGCATTGTCTTCATGGTACGAGTCCTCTATCTCCTCGGTGTTCCTCTTGCAGTTTGTATCTGGGAATTTATTGCTATCGAACACCTGAATGATTTTGTTGATTTCTTTTTTTGTTTTTTGTTTTAAATCTCAGCAAGGAAGAACGCGAGGAGGAGGAGGATGTAGAAGAGGGGAGAGGAGGAGGAGGGGGAAGAGGCAGGTGTCCAAGATCTCGCCCCGCTGGTAGACTGTAACACCGCCATGGCTGTAATAAAAACAGGGAGACAAGACATGCATTAGACACAAGGACAGCTAAATGTTGTATACATTACCTGAAGAATTACACTTGTCCATTGTTTTAATTCAATTTTACAATATACTCTAGGACTATAGTTTCGAAATGAACCTTATTATTATTATTATTATTATTATTATTATTATTATTATTATTATTATTGTTGTCTAAAAGAGAATGTACTAAGACTAGGGCTTAACGGGGCAGGGAACCATTAGGCAAAGTGCTTTAACAGGACTTTAGTTTATTGCATTAGGGATCTATTAAGACTGGGAGTTATCAGGACTTGGGTCGCTAAGTTTAGAGCATTATAAGAACTAGGGTCTTTTTAGGACTTAGGGGGACTCATTAAATATACAACCAACATGCTAGATTATACTAAGTGTCAGGTAGGGTCAGGTAAGGGTCAGGGGAAGGTATACTAAGGGTCAGGTAGGGTCAGGTAAGGGTCAGGGGAAGGTATACTAAGGGTCAGGTAGAGGTCAGGTAAGGGTCAGGGGAAGGTATACTAAGGGTCAGGTAGGGTCAGGTAAGGGTCAGGGGAAGGTATACTAAGGGTCAGGTAGGGTCAGGTAAGGGTCAGGGGAAGGTATACTAAGGGTCAGGTAGGGTCAGGTAAGGGTCAGGGGAAGGTATACTAAGGGTCAGGTAGGGTCAGGTAAGGGTCAGGGGAAGGTATACTAAGTGTCAGGTAGGGTCAGGTAAGGTCAGGTAAGGGTCAGGGAAGGTATACTAAGGGTCAGGGAAATGTAGGGTCAGGTAAGGGTCAGGGGGAAGGTATACTAAGTGAGAGGTAGGGCCGGTAAGGGGTCAGGGAAGGTATATACATAGATCAGGTAGGTCAGGTAAGGTCAGGTAAGGGTCAGGGGGAAGGTATACTATGGTCAGGTAAGGGTCAGGAAGGTATACTATGGGTCAGGTAAGGGTCAGGGAAGGTATACTATGGGTCAGGGTAGGGTCAGGTAAGGGTCAGGGGATGGTATACTTGGCGGGGTCAGGTAGGGTCAGGCGGTCAGGGAAGGTATACTATGGGTCAGGTAGGCCAGGTAAGGGTCAGGGGAAGGTATACTAAGGGTGAGGTAGGGTCAGGTAACGGGTCAGGAGAAGGTATACTAAGGGTCAGGGGAAGGTATACTAAGTGTCAGGTAAGGTCAGGTAAGGGTCAGGGGAAGGTATACTAAGGGTCAGGTAGGGTCAGGGGAAGGTATACTAAGGGTCAGGTAAGGTATACTAAGTGTCAGGTAGGGTCAGGTAAGGGTCAGGTAAGGTATACTAAGGGTCAGGTAGGGTCAGGGGAAGGTATACTTAGGGTCAGGTAGGGTCAGGTAGGTCGCCCTCGAACAGTACAGTTAAGACTCACCTTTCTTGGTGGAGAAGGAGAAGTGTTGTGACTCGGAGGACCAGCCGTACCTGTTCCTCACCCTAATGACGGCCAGGTAGTCCGTCGCCACCTCCAGCCCCGTCACTGTGAAGGCCATGGAGTGACAAGTGTCGTCCTCCACCTTGACCTCGTCCTTCTCCACGCTCCTCGACACGTTCTCCCACGACCCAGCCATCACCATGGTCCGATTACTCTATAAAGGACAGACACACATACGTCAGCTACATCTCTCTCTCTCTCTGTGTTTTTATTCTGCCTACCTATGTACTTAGAGAGATAGTAGTTGATGGAGATTGATAGATAGATGGATTGGTGGGTAGGTTAGTAAATAGATAGATAGACATAAGTAGATAAACTGACAGACAGACAGACATATAGATAGATAGATTTGGTCTTGCTGTGCTAATTCTTTTTGTTGTTGTTGTGAAAAGCAAAGATGAATTTAGTAGCTCACCTGCCAGGCTCCCAGGTGAGTCTTGCGGTACTTGATGATGAACTCGGTGATTGGGTAGAAGCTTTCTGTCTGCCAGGTGAGGGTGTACCTGTTGCTCTCCCCGCCGTTGGGGCTGCTCGTTACCTGCGGCGGCTTGGGGAGACCTGATGGTGGGGAGATGGGGGTGTATATAGTGGGGTGAGGAGGATTGTTACTTAATTTACCCCAACCTAACCCAACCCAACCCTGCCCTGCCCTGCCCTGCCCTGCCCTGCCCTGCCCTGCCCCTGCCTCTCCCTGGCCCCCTGCCCCTGCCCTGCCCTTACCCTACCCCCTGCCCTACCCTGCCCTGTCCCTGCCCTACCCTACCCTTGCCCTACCCTACCCTACTCCTACCCTACTCCTACTACCTACCCTACCCTACCCTACCCTACCCTACCCTACCTGTCATCTGTATAACGGCGTCCTTCTGTCCGTGGGAGTTCTCGGCGATACACACGTACGCCCCAAAGTCCTTCTCTGACACTTTGTTGATAGTGAGGATGTGGCGGTGGGCGGCATGGGTCACTCGCAGGTGGGTGTCTTTGGTGGACGCGTTCTGACCCCCAGGTAGATACAGTTTGGTGTCCATATCGGTGTCCGGGAGAGGGTGTCCGTCTCTCGTCCAGGTCACGTCAGGAGAGGGACGCCCCCTGACCAGACACACTAGCTCCACCTTGTCTCCTTCACCTGTTCGCACGATGGCCTGTACGAGTGAGAGAATTGATTGATGATTATTGTTTTAGGTTTAATGAGAGAGAGAGAGAGAGAGAGAGAGAAAGAGAGAGAGAGAGAGAGAGAGAGAGAGAGTTAACAACCGTACCAGATTGTTTTTTTATGATTCGGTAACAATCTCGGATATTATCTTTGATCTAACAATTATGGCAACCTCTATTTAACCCACAATATGGAGAAGAAAGTCCGTTATATCGAGCGTCCAGATGTGAACCCCCCATTTAACGGATTATATGAAGAGGGAAGTCCGTTATATGGAGGTATCTGGTGACTTACTGTACACTCTCTTAACACTAACCTTCTCGGTGGTAATCTCCGGCGGGTACTCGACAGCGATGGTCATGGCGGCTGAGGCTGACTCCCCGATGCCGTTGTCAGCCGTGCAGAGGTAAGTGCCCTCCACGTGACGGTCCACTCCCTCCAACGTGAGGCTCTTGCCCTGTAGAGAGAGGTGCGTCAGGGGTGCTTAGTCAGGAGGGGGGGTTGATAGAGGTAGGGAGAGGTGAGTGTCCTCCAGGTGGTGGCCAAGCTAGTCAGCACCCTTCAGTGTTCGGATCTGGTCCAGTAGAGGGCATGACTGACTGGATGGTGGCTTACTCAGGCGTGTCGGGGATGAAAGGGTTTATAGAGAAAGAAAGAAAGAGGGAGAGTGAAAAATGAAAGCGGGGGAGAAAGAGGGAGAAGGGAAATTTGAAGAAAATAAAAGAGAGAGAGAATGAGAAAGAGGAACAAAACACTGCTTTTGAGTCTAATGTTTTCTCCGCCAAAGATAAACACGAAACACACGACATAACACTGACCTCTTCGCTACGGAGGCCAGAGGGCAGAGGACCTTCCTGACGGGACCAGCGGATGGTGGGCTCGGGATTGCCTTGAGCCTTACACTCGAGCGTCACGGTGATGCCCTTAGCCACGTGCTGCTCCGGGGGCGCCAGGGACCTGATTGAGGGCGCGAACTGTACGTCGAGGGTGTGCTTGAGCTGGATGGGCGGGTCCATCTCGAACATACAGAGGAAGATGCCAGCGTCACGGGGGCGGGCGTGAGAGATGGTGAGGCGGGAACCTTCCACTGTTATGCGACGGTCTTTGGTCACTCTCTCGTTACCCACAACCAAGAGCTTCTCCTTCCCCCCAGCGGCCGGGACCTTCTTGATGATGAGTTTGTTATTGCCTGTAAGATCACCCGAAGACGGAACCTCGTTAACTCTGTTGTGTACACGTAGGATGGTGCTATTTGTGTTGACAGTTTAACAGTGCTTTAAAGGATGAATATTCAGACTGTGTGAATATGTACAACCGGTCACCTGTTACTGTCTCAAGGTTCTGGCCCAGACTGTTGACTTACCGGAGTGTATCTGATCCTCAGGTCGCTCAGAAAGCTGTTGAAGGCTTATAGTAATCCTCCTTCAAACTGAAATTGAGGTTTGACTATAACATCTCTCATCTATTTACCCTTTACCAGTTCATGGAGATACTGAGTGAAAGCTTCTTGACCCTTTTAACTCAACCTTTAGTAAGATATACCTGTTTGCACCTGTGTGATAATTAGCAGATAAAACACATGAGACAAGAACCTGCCACCTTTATTCTCGGTCGTTTGTATTACTCAAGATGGCCACAGATGGTTAGTCACGTAACACCTGTCGCACGGCCCACTTACCTGTTTTCTCCACGTCTTATATAATGAAAACATAATAACACTAAAACTTACCTTCTCTTATCCACGCCACAGGAACTAATCACGTAACACCTGCCTCCTCCATGTCACATAATTAACCCACGTAACACCTGTCGTAAGGGTCACTCACCTGCATTCTCCACGTCACACGGGATGATCACCGACTGCCCCACCTCCACCGTGAAGATCTGGGAGCGAGCCAGGAAGGTGGGCTGGTCCTCCTCGCCTACCTCGTAGTCGTAGTAGTAGCTCTCGCCGGCGTAGTTGTAATTGTACTTCTCGTTTAAACCTGTGGACAGACCTGCCGGGGAAGAGAAGCGGGTCAGTGTGAGCTCAGGGAGGGTGAGAGGGAAGGAGGGGCGGAGGGTAGGCATTGTATTTGTGTGTGTGTGTGTGTGTGTGTGTGTGTGTGTGTGTGTGTGTGTGTGTGTGTGTGTGTGTGTCCCCCGCATCAGTAACTCTCTAATTTATCACAAAAGTTGGACTAAATTAAACAAACATGCCTTAGCTCCCCTCTCTTGTTAGTTGTAACCAATCACTTTATTTCTTCCGAGACAAAACACAAGTTATTTACCTTTCGGAGAGGTTCACTTCTCTTACTTAAACAGTACACTTAACCCACTTATAATAAGAACTCCCCCCAACGCTCACTTATCCCACTTATAACATTAACGCCTTAATTCTCCCACTTAATCAGTACACTTAACGCACTTACAACACCCTCTTCAGCAGCACAGAGGCCCTTAACCCCTTCCACCAGGTCTTCCCTTCAGTATGTATCTAACACTCGACTCGGAATCAAAGTCAAACAGAAGGTTGGTATAAATTTGTACCGAGTCAATATATATGTAATTTTTTTCTCTTATTCTTCTGGGGTAAAGTTTAAGAGGTTCACAAGGAAGGTAGAATTATATGTTAGGGAATTGTGTGTTTGTGGGTGTGTGTGGGGGGGAGGGGAGGGAGGGGGTGTGTGGGAGAGGGTGTGTTTAGGGAGGATGTGTGTGGGGCAGTGTGTGTGTGTGTGTGTGTACGTACAGGCAATAGCTTTTTTCCTCCCAGAATCCTATGAAACTCTGGTAATGTATTTCACAGCGGCCCCTCACACCACCCCCTCACACCACCCCCTCACAACTCACTCCACCCTCACACCACCCTCACAGCTCACGGTATTTCAAACCTCACAGCAACACTTCGTTCCACCCTTCAGTAAGCCAATGTAAAGGAGCACACATCCCCCTCTCTCTCTCTCTCTCATCTGGCAAGCTCTGGACAACGTGTAAGGATGCTTCTCTGTCTAGCGTCTCTCTGTTTTTATCTCTTTTTCTGAGATATGGATGTTTCTCTAAGTCTGTATGTCTCTCTATGTCTCTGTCTCTCTCACATCCACTCCTCTCAGCTGGCAAATCACCTGCCCCCGTGATGTGCAGTGACGTCACACACATCTCACTTCACAGTCCTTACGGAATAATTAATCCTCTTTACCTGTAATTAAGGAAGGTGTCTTGACAGGTGTATACATAGTCAATGTGAGCAGGTAAGACAAAGGTGCAGTTCAAGGGTATTAGCTATAGCCAGTGAACCTGTTTCCACCTGCATCTACCTGTTTCCACCTGCGTCTACCTGTTTCCACCTGCATCTACCTGTTTCCACCTGCATCTACCTGTTTCCACCTGCGTCTACCTGTTTCCACCTGCGTCTACCTGTTTCTATCTGCATCTACCTGTTTCCACCTGCGTCTACCTGTTTCCACCTGCGTCTACCTGTTTCTATCTGCATCTACCTGTTTCCACCTGCATCTACCTGTTTCTACCTGTATCACCTGTTTCCACCTGTATCTACCTGTTTCCACCTGTATCTACCTGTTTCCACCTATCTACCTGTTTCTACCTGCATCTACCTGTTTCTACCTGTTCTACCTGCCTGCATCTACCTGTTTCCACCTGCATCTACCTGTTTCCACCTGCGTCTACCTGTTTCCACCTGCGTCTACCTGTTTCTATCTGCATCTACCTGTTTCCACCTGCATCTACCTGTTTCCACCTGCATCTACCTGTTTCCACCTGCGTCTACCTGTATCGATCTATCTCTCCGGGTTCCCAGCATTTTTCCCTATTGTTACTGGTCGTTAAAATTGTTAGGATTTTCCCCACATTTTGAAACAGGACTAATAATTTCCCTACAGTGTCATGCTAGCGTGAAAATTCCCCCATGATGGTTCGCATAGGGGCTTCAAAATTTCCCCATCGGTAATTAACACGTATGTAAATTTACCACAACTGTGTGTGACAGTCCTAAGGTAGAAATATCCCCGCGATCTAACACAAATATGAGTTTTTTTTTCCCTACAAAGTCAAACTAAATATTTCCCCAAGGAGTGAAACAGTCCTGAAAATTTCCTTACAAGGTCCTGTAGAGAGCTGAACGTCTTCCTCACAAGGCATTAAACAGGCACAGAATTTTCCCCCACGTCGTCAAATAGGCCTATAAAAATCAAAATCCCCACAGCACCAGACTGAAAAATAGTGAATTCCTCTCAGCGACAAACAGATCTGAAAATTCCCCCACGGCGTCAAGCAAAGAATCTAAAAATTCCCACCTCAAGAAGTTAAGCCAGACCCGAAAATTTCCCTACCCTGCAAACCCACCCCCATAAAAAAAAATTTCCCTGCTCCCACGACATCAAGCGAGAAAGAACCTGAAAATTTCCCCACCAGGATCAAACATGGACAGTGAAATACGCGGCGGTGGTGAAGGTATTTTATCCCTCACATTTTCCCCTTCGTGTGTTGCCTCATCGAACATGCATGGCCAACTCCTCATTTATGGTGATAAAATATTCACCATTCCCAGAGAGATAGAGAGAGAGAGAGAGAGAGAGAGAGAGAGAGGAGAAAAAGGTATGTGTTGACTTTTCATTACACCAAACATCTTTATGGTCTGTTCTACTTTTTTTTATTTTATTTTTTTTTTGCTGCTCCCCAGTTTATTTTGCAGGGTAAACTAAAGGATTTTTTTTTTATATTATACACTCCTCCTCCGCCAGAGTTGAAATACATATCGTTTTATTTCGTCTCCTAATACCCCCTCCTCCTCCTCCTCCTCCTTCAGGTGTTTCAGGTAGGTCGTGGGACTTGTTTTTGTTTGGTTAATCATTTTATAGATTTCATGGGGCTATATCGGTTTGGGTGTGGAGTGTTTTATGAGAGTATTTTTGGGTGTACCTGAAGTTTAAACACAGCAGCTTATTTGAGGTGAACTATGCTAGGGTGTCTAATCGTCATGTAAAATAAACTTGGGGGTGTGTAAACTTCAGGTGACCCAAAAAATATAGGTGTCTAATCTTGAAGTGAAATATGCTACCATCTAATCATCAGGTAAAATAAACTGGAGTGACTAATCTTCAAGTGATCGAATCCTTCTCTCGCTCTCATCCTTTTAAATAATTAATAAAACAAACATCAATAGGAATAATATATTAGAATTACTACTAAAATATTATCCTTCCACCATTTAATCTCCCTCACGATAATACACTTTCAAACATTTCATATTCACCTGAGTGTATATTATCAATTAAGTGAAGGAATCTATTGGTGAAAGTAAATAAGGTGGGAATTGGGTATAGTGGTGCTGGGGAGATTACCACCAGCAGCAGCAGGAGGAAAATGGTGGTTTTAGTAAACACAAGAGATGAATATTCAAGAGTGTGTGGTGGGTGGGTGGGTGTGGGTGTGTGGTGGTGTGTGGGTGGTTGTGGGTGTGGTGGTGGGTGGTTGTGTGTGGTGGTGGGTGGTTGGTTGTGGGTGTGTGGTGGGTGGGTGGTTGTGGGTGTGGTGGGTGGTTGTGTGTGTGGTGGAGGGTTGTGGGTGTGTGGTGGGTGGGTGTTGTGGGTGTGTGGTGGGTGGGGGGAGGGTGTGTGTAGGGTTGTGTGTATGAGATTGTGTGTTTGTTTTGGTGTGGGTATGTGTGTGTGTTGTTTCTGTAGTGTGTGTGGGGGATTGTTTGTGTGTGTGTGTGTGTGTGTGTGTGTGTGTGTATGTGTGTGTGTGTGTGTATGTGCGTGTATGTATGTATGTATGTGTGTAAAGCTGCAGGGAAGGATCGTGGAAGGTGATTTGGTTTAGGAATTACCGCAATGCGGAAGTGTTGTGGCGTGGCGCCGCGTGAAGGTGAGACGAAGACACGTGTAGGAACACACACACACACACTCCCCTCCCCCACACCCCCCCACACACAACCCCACCACACAACCCCACCACACACAACCCCACACCCCCACACACACCCCACACACACCCCCACCCCACACAACCCCACCCCCCACCCCACCCACCCCCACCCCCCACCCCCCCCCACCCCACCCCCACCCCACACACCCCACCCCACACCCCCCACACACCCCCACCCCCACCCCCACCACACAACCCCACACCCCACCACACAACCCCCCCAACCCCACAACCCCACACCCCACCCCACCCCACACACCCACACCCCACACCACACACCCAACCCCACACCCCACACACCCCACACACCCCACACACCCCCCACACAACCCCCCCACACACAACCCCCACACACACCCCCCACACAACCCCCACACACACCCACACACACCCCACAGCCCCACACACCCCCACCCACACCCCCCACACAACCCCCACACACACCCCCCACACACAGCCCCACACACACCACACACACAGCCCCACCACACACACCCCCACACACACCACACACAACCCCACACACACACACCCCACCACACACACAACCCCACACACACAACCCCAGGCACAGGGCCCCCACACACAAACAAACACGTACACGTTCTCCACTTGGGGTGAAAATACAAGGACAAGTCTTCAGAATATGGACCCAACCCTCACCAACCTACTTGTGACGTCACGAAGAAACGAAAAAGAATAAAAAAAATATAGAAGAGGAAAAAGATATTGTGAGAAGAAAAAGATTGAGTTTAATGGAGAGACAGCGAGTCTTTTTTACGTGTAAGAGAGTCAGGCTGAAGAAAAGCATTAATGTATTCTCTGAGGATAATAATTACTTTTATTTGTTTATTTATTTGTGTGCCAGGAATAATAATAATAATCATATTCAAATTATCAGTAGGAATAATACAACAAAAATATCTAACAATAGTAATCATAAATTAAAAATAGTCAAGGTTTAAAACATTTTCATCAGAAGGGTCTATTATTTATTCAGTTACCGAAAAAATAAATTAAGAAAAGTATTGTAAATAATAAATAAATATCAAGAAACTCCTCCTCCGTCTCC